GCTGCAGAGGATGGTAATCTGCAGACAGATGCAGGAGGGGAGGGATGCTGCTGTACATTTGCTGGGCTGAGCTGAGGACAGGATGGTCATCCAGTCTAGAGGAATGTGAGGTGGAGTCCAGCTCTCCAAGCAGCTCCACTTCCTTCACCAGGTTCCTGCTTTGTGGAGCAGTGAGCCACAACCCAAGTCCACACAGGGCAGATGCTCCTCAGGCGTGCAATAGCCAGAGCTCTGCAAGTGGAAGATGGACATCCCATGGCCCCTTGGTAGTTCAGTGTCCCTGAGACTTTTTCTTCTCTTTACTTAATTACCCACAATAAATGTGCACCTTTTTAATTCCTTCCTCTGTTTCAGGTCCTTCACTTGCTGGTTCCACAATAGCTGTCTTTGGTCAAGGCCCTTCAACAGCTCCTGAGGCACATTGTGTGCATATGGCAGCTCAGTCCCAAGCTCTGCTCTGGGACTCAGAGCTGCTGCAATGCCCCAGTATCTCTGCCCAACTTGTATAAGCCCAGTCCAGCATACAACTCACTGTTATTAACTGGAGCAGAGAGATGGGTCATGGTAACCAAACCACACTCCCTCCTTTACAAGTGATCCTGCATGGTTGATGTCACATGTTCTGCATCAAGACTTATCCTTGACTCATCCTGCAAAGGAAGCCTACTGCATTGCAGGAGTTCTGGTGGGAAACAGAGTAATTCCAGATCTTATCATGTCTGTCAAAACAAGATGCTGATGACTCTAGCCCAACACCAAACACACCTTGCCCACATGTAGTTCCAGTCTTCCCAGCTGGGCAAATACACCGTCCCGTCTTCGGATCACACGGTGTTTCTCCACAGCTGCACCTCTGCTGACAGTTCACCCCAAAGCTCCCAGGCTGACAAGCTGGTCAAAAGAAACCCAAAGACATGGTTAGGATAAGGAAGCATTGTGAAGACATTAAGGAGGCATCACTAACAGCAACTTTAAACTGAGCTGTGCTGGTACCAAGTGATCTATATTAGCATCAGAGTCTCAACCTCTGGTTGTCTGTCATTAACTGCAACAGAGCTCTAGAAAATCTGTGCCTGAAGCTTTAAAAGGAACCGTAGTTACCTGGACAAACGTTAGTTTTAGCAACTGGCCTCAGCCTTGGCTTTTAACCTTTACAAGCAGAGTGACACAGCAGTTGTCAGGCTCCAAATATCAGTTGGGCTTCAGTGGGGAACTGCAAACTCACATCAACAACAAATATCCCTTTTATTTGCAACTTCTATATCTGAACATGTTTCCTAAGTAAGCTTTCCCCATCCAAAGTGTACCTCCCAGGGAAACATGCAGTGAGTACCTACATAAATGGCATTTTTCTCCATGAAAGCCAGGTGGACATGGATGCTTGCAGACTCCCGTCTCATGATCACACATGACATCAGGAGGACAGTTGCACCTCAGTTTGCAACCAGTGCCATAAAAGCCAGGTGTGCACACTGGAATATGCAAGTAGACACAGAACGTGTATAAGAAAAAGGAAGAGTTAAGAAAACTCTACAAAAGTCAGAGAATAATTTGGCAGAAATAGCAGAAAATCTATGATAATGTACATTTTAGAGGTGCTGATAAAGTGTAAATACTTATTGAACACTTGCATGGACATTTCAAAGAGGTTACTGCTTAAATACAACCCAGCAACAGAGTGGCAGAATACTTAAGGATATATTCAATTATAGCCATTACAGAATGACTCTTCTTATCTGTCTACACCTTCTGCTGCTCTCCGCCTTGGTGCAAAGCCAGTGCTGGGCGACGGATGCTCTCCCCCAGAACTGAGTATGTCACCAAGAACGTTAAATATATTAAATACCATCACTATTATTCTCCATCAAACCCCACAGAACTAGCGTCATAAATCCAACGTGTTCCTGCCTGCCCAGAGAGGAATCTGAAGGGAAAACCTTTATTGAGTTACTCCACTGCTGTCTGGAAAGGGCGACTACTGAGACATGCAAACATGAATGTGGAATACAATTCTCTTTGAACTACCCTCCAAAACTACAAAGGACAAGTTGAATTCCAAGACCTGCTGAAATCTGAAGGAAAAGTTGCATTACTGAAACCATTTCCAGACAATCCTGCTGCCATAAAACACGGGTTTTGCCACTTCTTTACTCTTTGTGCGGACAAAAGAAGGAACAAAAGTGAAAACTCCCACAATCTTCACCATTTAGGGTTGTATTAGAATTTGATTGCTAGATTGCTGTTGTCATTTCATCAGGGTAAGACTCCTGTGTTCTTAAGCTGTATTCCCCTTGATGTCCCTGTGAGCCCTGTGATATCAGGCACTCATGGCATTTGCTGTATGAAAATCCATGGACAAAATAATTAGGAGAATATGAATATATTAGTAGTGGCAGTTGAACATAGACACTGGCCCAGGTTGCCCAAGGAAGTTGTGGATGCCCCCTCCCTGGAAGTGTTGAAGGCCAGGCTGGATGAGGCTTTGAGCAACCTGGTCTAGTGGAAGGTGTCCCTGCTGATGGCAGGGGAGTTGGAACTGGATGAGCTTTAAGGTCCCTTCCAATCCAAACCATTCTGTGATTCTATGATTCTATAGCAGATGGGAAGAAGAATAAGAAATAACTCTAGGAGAAAGGAATAAGCAGACAGAGGGAATCTGGCTTTCTATTATTATACCTTTCTGACACTTTTTGCCGTGATAACCAGGTTTGCAGGTGCAAGTCCCGTTCCTCGCGTTGCACTCCAGCGTGTGCTCTTTCACGCACTGACACTCCTCCGAGCAGCCAGCTCCGAAGGCCCACCTGGGACAGGCTGCAGCCAGGTGAAAAAGAATCATTAGCTCTGTAATTACGCACGAGTTATTGGAAATTGCACACTGCTGCAGAATGCAACTGCTGCAAGAAAAGCAAAACGGTCATTTTACTTTCAGCAAGTACATCCACGTTCCTATGACAGCTCCTATTAACGTGTGTGTGTAAAATATAGTTTACATTATTCCTTTATTAAGTAATTAATTCCATTTCAAGCAATGTGTGGTGAATGCAAGAAGCAGAAATGTTTCAAAGCAAACTTTTAGTTAAGGTTCTGCATGAAAAATATTTGGATACAGTCCAAGACAAAAGCTTTCATGACAAAAAATCCAAAACATACCAAAAAATTCCAATCCACAACTATTTTTCAATCCTATACAGATTTTAGGAACACAACCTGTCAGTGCAAAGAAACTTTATCATCTCTTTTGCACCATTTTTGTTTTGATTCTTTTTATTCCCATTAAACATTTTGCCCTCCTCCTGCCCCAGCTAGCCCTGCTCCTCAGCTCCCACTCTGACCATATCAGCAGGCACTAATTAGCTCCAACCCAACTTTCACCTCACCAACAACCCTAATGTGAACCTGCCTGTCCCAACCCAACCCTACCTATAGTTCTCACCATTGTGCATCAGTAAATCTCAGTCCTTATGGCAAAGATTAATTGCTAGAGGAAAAGATTAATGAAGTTTCTGGGGCTTGCCGGCACACATCAAAAGTCACATTGTGGTGGGTTGACCTTGGCTGAAGGCCAGGTACCCACCAAGCCAGTCTATCACCCCCCTCCTCAGCAGGAGGGGAGAAAATAAGATGGAACAAAACCCCCCAGACTCATGGGTCAAGGCAAAAGGCAGTTTAATAGAATCAAAGCAAAGCTGCGCACACAGAAGCAAAAGAACAAAATATTTATTCTCTGCTTCCCATCAGCAGGTGATGTTTGGCCACTTCCTGGGAAGGAGGGCTTCACACGCATAGCGGTTACCCCAGAGGACAAACATAAATAACGAATGCCCCCTTTCCCCCCCTCTGTTCTCATTGCTTTTATTTCTGAGCAGATGTTATATGGTATGGAATATCCCTTTGGTCAGTTTGGGTCAGATGTCTTGGCTACAACCCCTCCCAAGACCTTTCCCACCCCCAGCCTACTAGGTGAGGAAAATGTTGGAGAGCCAGCTTTGGTGCTGTGGGAGCTCTGCTCACCAGTAACCAAAGCACTGGGGTGTTATCAACACCCTTCTAGCTACTGATACAAAACCCAGAACTCTGAGGGCTGCTGTGGGGAAAATTAACTCCATCTCAGCCAGACTCAATACACACATCCTCCCATCTCAGGGTAGAACCCAAAGTCTTGCTTATTTTACACGTGATGTAGAATCTTCTTAAGACTGTTGTGTTGTGTGTGTGTTAAATAAACAGATCAGAAAAATCTTTGGGACTTACTAAGATGGCAGAAGCGCCCGTAGAGCCCGGGGTCACAGAGGCAGGCTCCGTAGAGTCTGTGGCAATGGCCGTTGTTGGCACAGTTGCATGGTTTGTTACAGTTCTTCCCAAAGAGGCCTTTTGGGCAACCTTTTGAGAGCACAAACACAGCAAAGCATCAGCTGTTAAGCGTTAAAACACAAACACCAAATCAGCCCTCTTTGGGTTGTCACTAAAGAAAAGACCACGCTGACTTGCCACTGGCATGGGGCTCTGCACAGCCCAGCCTTACAAGGCACCTGCTTCTTCTCACCCTTTGTCTTGCTTATTATTTAAAGAAAAGCAGGGTTATAGTACATCTCACACAACAGAGACTGTTCTCTTTCACAGAATCACAGAATGGTGGGGTTGGAAGGGACCTCAGGAGATCATCCAGTCCAACCCCCCTGACAAAGCAGGTTCCCTACAGCAGGTTGCACAGGAAAGTGTCCAGGTGGGTTTGAACATCTCCAGAGTTGGAGACTCCACACCCTCTCTGGGCAGCCTGTCCCAGGGCTCCAACACCCTCACAGGAAAGAAGTTTTTCCTTAAGTTTGTCTGGAACTTCTGGTGTTCCAGTTTTTGCCCATTGCCCCTTGTCCTGTCACTGGGCACCACTGAAAAGAGCCTGACCCATCCATTTGGCCCCCACGTTTCAGATATTTATAGACATTGATAAGGTCCCCTCTCAGTCTGCTCTTCTCCAGGCTGAAGAGTCCCAGCTCTCAGCCTCTCCTCGTAAGGCTGATGCTCCAGACCCCTCATCAACTTTGTGGCCTCTGCTGGACTCTCTCCAGAAAGTCCCTGTCCCTCTTGAACTGAGGATCCATAACTGGACGCAGTACTCCAGATGTGGACTACTCTCAGGCCCCTAAGATTTACCAGGCACAAGTACAACTAGATAGTAAGAAGAGGAAAGAAGCAGTGAGGTTCCAAGCACACACTACAGCCGGTGAGACAACGGTAGCCGTACCATCTTCACAGAGCTTGCCGTGCACACCGGGCGGGCAGCGGCACTGCCCCGTCACAGGGTCGCAGGAGCCTCCGTTCTGGCACTTGCAAACGCCGGCGCAGTCTCTGCCGTATGTCCCCGGGGAACAAGCTGTGGAGAAAGCAGAGAAGGTGAACGGGGCAAGAAATCTTTTCCCTCTATTAGAAATGAGGAAAAATAAGACTCCAGTCATCCCAACTGAGCAAGGAAAGAGTCCCTTTAGTCAAGCAGGCTCTAAACAAAGTCATATTAGAATCCCAGAGTTGCCTCAATTAGAAAAAACCTTTAGGCTCATCAACTCCAACACTGACAAGTCCCCAACTAACCCATGTCCCTCAGCACTATGTCTACATGACTCTTCAATCCCTCCAGGGATGGGGACTCCACCACTGCCCTGGGTAACCCCTTCCAATGCCTCAGAACCCTTTCAGCAAAGAAATTCTTCCTCACATCCAATCTCAACTGCCCTTGGCGCAACTTGAAGCCATTTCCTCTTGTCCTAAATATAGTCTTCATATATATAAGGTAGTATAGTTCCATCTAATATTTACTATATAATTTTAAAAGGACATCTGAATTAACCAGGCTTACTTATGTGAAGTACTATGTGAGGTATCCAGATTCTCCCCTGCATATGCTCCCCTCAATATAATGCTTCTAAGCTTAAAAATCAGAGCAGTTTTGAATATTTGGAGATAAATATTTTAAACTTTTCCCCCCCCCACCTCCCAAATACTATTATAGAAATAACACTGTGTTTTTCTAATATAGTCTCTTAAATTCCCCAGATGATCATGGTAGGAAGGGATCCACAGCAGCACAGGATTCTTTCCAAAAGCCCTCATAGCTCCAGTACATAACAAATTGTGAACGAAGCCTTGCTCCACTGTTTGTAGCCTGAGCTAATCAAGCAAATACAGTTGCTGGAGTCATCCAACTGACATTTTATCAATGTACATTAACAAACTTGACATTTCACATCAATTTGCATTCAGCTTCTTGGGTGCATTATCACAGAAATCTAGTTCCAGTGTTGTCAGCTGTTTAGTTTACCCTAAGCTCATGAACTATGCTGTATATTAAGAAAGCAGGAGAAGGGTGAGAACAATCACATATGGTTAATTCATACAGATTATATATTGTATTTGTCACTCTCAATGCCTACTTCATCAGACTGCAGGTTTGGCTTGATAACACAGTCCCATTAAAGTTCTTTAAATTCCAGAGGCAAATTCCACCAGATTACATGCATGGATATCTACTGTAAATATAGAACAAAAATGATATTCTTATTTATTAAATGAACTAAAGAATTTGTATCCTGCCTTGCTATTTTTATAATATATCCTGAACCACTAGAGCACCCTGAACAGAAGTAAGAATATCCTAAATTGATAGTTTGAACTGTCTTAGGTAGACTAGAAATTATAATTTCAATCCTCTTCATTCCTATACTTGCAGCTGTCCCTGGTGTTTACAAACCAAATTCAGGATCAGTCTCCCAAAATAACTATAGGCAGACTGTTGGTTTCAATGATTTGCTGTTTTTTTTTCTATATTTATTTCCTCGTGATGATGCCTCCTAAACAATCTTGGTGGTGATTAATCTGCACATTGCTGTCTACCCATGCTAAGTAATAATTCTTCATCATCTATTTGTCTCATTAGTGACAGCACAGACATCCTGAGTAAGATGAGCCATCATGCCATACACCATGAAATGGAGGGACCCATCTCAAACACGCAGAGAAACTGCTGTGTGAAGTTGCAAACAAGCAACACAAGTTTTGTTGAATTGCAGATGAAGAACGGTGCATGGTACATCAAGAAATGGCCGCTTTGTCTTTCCAGTTGGTTTTGACACATACATCTGAACCAGAAAGATCTTCTGTTAGGAGGCAGGAGTAAGAATAGAAAGGTATTACAAAAGGCACTGGCTGACTTGGCAAGAGAATTCTGAAAAATACAATTTCCAATATTAAAAATTAACCATCCCAAGAAAATTATGTTAATAATAAAAAGGATTATAAGAAAAAAAAAGAACAAAACAAAACAGGCCCAAGTTTACCAACACAAGGAGGGAAAAAAAAAATAAATAAAGGCAATGTCTTGGGATGTTATAAAGGAAAAAACAAGTTTAGCATCTGTGTTCACCCAGATTGTCACACCACCTGCCAGGACAGACTTCTGAAAGTCAGCGAGGCAAGTCGTG